GGCAAGAAACATACTGAGGTATCGTTTTGTAAACACCTTATAACCCAATACCTGTGAAAATATCCATATAGAGTATATACGCATTTAAGAGAGCTGATACCTTAGGTTGCAATACTTAATGTGCACTTTCCACGACATGAGAGAGAAATAGGATCTGCTAATCAGCACCAAGCCACAAGACATTTTAAGTCTAAGTACTCCCACGTAATAATTTTTTTAAATAATAATTGCCTTTAGAGTGCGAGCAGTTGTACAGGAAATGGCTGCTTCCTAAACTCTACTCTCTTCAGTCTGCACCCTTTCACAAGCTAAATATTTTACAGAGGCAGCGTCTTTACAATGCTTATGGTTGAACACTTTACTTTCTGTGGTCACGTCTCATTATTTACAAGATCTCATCCCATGTATTTATTTTAAATACTTGGCTTGTCTCAGGTCTTCGAACCAGCAAGTGGGGAAGGAAAAACCTAACACGATATGTCCTTTCTTCAGGAACGGCGATCTACTCATCTTCATAGCTATTCAGTGGTACTTTTAAAGTCTGCAGTACATTTATGAGCAAAATCGATGCCAAGGTTGGGTGGCGGGGTGTTAGACTTCTGTATCTCCATCTTCCACATTCCTGATAAGGTTCTAGATGTGTTTAAGGGCAAAAATTCCACCCCAATATATTAGTTTTGTTAATCCTTTTCCTATGATCTGTTTGCCTGGCTAGGGAAATTATGCAAAAAGTAATAAAAGTTCTAATTCAATTTCCATGTTAAGAGATGGATTTGAAAAAAAAAAAAAAAATCAGAAACCATATTCTTTGTGTTTACGAAGAGATATGCACTCCAACATTTAGTGTCATGGAGCTGGAGTTAAAACCAGAAACGGTGAAGATAATTTAGCTGCATGAATGCCTGCTCTTCAGCAAAATGCTGCCAAAATTAAATAGGAATGAAACAGCACTTTGTAGTCATTGGTCGCTCAGCAGGGTTTGCGTAGTTAAAAACCTAAGTGAAAAGGGTGATTGACCTACATTGCTACTAGCTTAGCACAGCTGTACTTTCATATTTTTGCTGCATCCGAGGAAGCTCATTATTTAATACAACTGAGTTACATGTAATTGTTGGTCTTTCATTTTACACTTTTAGGGGCCAGATATTAATCTCAAATGTGCGGCAGGCATTACTGTGCATCTGGAAATATCCACGGCTGCCCATTTGCACACAAGGCTAAGAGACGGGACTGTACACAGTTGCACCTGAAATGAAGAGGCTGCCCAGGGGTAGGAGGACCTAACAAATATACAGAAATCAATGAGCAGATGGAACAGAAAGCAAATCCCTTGGCACCCCAAAGGCAAACGCTCTGCTGTTTCCTTATTGTTTTGAGCTGAAGCAGCCTAGAACAAACAACCAAAGTGCATTTCACACAACTCATACCTGCGGTTTAAATAAGTAATAACATTCCAGTTAACAACCAGTTTGACATGTTAACAGCCCAAAGGCTGTTAACATAACGACTGGTCATTAATGGCAGTAATGACAGATTTCAAAGGGAATATTGTGCTTGTAAATGGACATGCTGCCAGTCAGAAGAGAGGCCAGAGCAGGACAGGCTGATACATTAAGATGTCACTGTACAGCTCTGGAGGGAAAAAGAAAAGGGAAAAAAAAAAAAACCCTTCTTGCATATTTCACTTACTGTAAATGGACTTGAAATATTGGTGTAAACCTACGTTCCTTAAATTAAGTTTTCACTTTCTAACCCAAGAGTGTATAAGCAGGAGACAGAAGCCTGCAGGGGAATTATACTCTGCATATCATTTTCACCGAGTGTGCTATTTCTAACATTGAGTCCTTTCTTTACTCAAGTCAGTTCTCATCCTCATTAACAAAACAGAGCTCATTCTTGCTGTGGCCACCCTATTACCCTCGGTGTCGTACACCACCTCTGAAACCACTGGAGTAACTTACATGAATCAGATTCCAGGGTAAAGCCTCTCACACCCAAAGTATCTTCCAAGCTCATTACCTCATTAAAGATTTCTTCCATCCCCTCAAATCCCACCCAACCTGGAGAAAAAGGTTTTAATATAGTAAAAGTAACTAATTTTACCAAAGGAGAGAGCTAAAGCTAAGCAAGTTTTGAAGTTCTGAGGATACAGAGTATTTATAAAAAGCTCACCAAAGTGGGTACCTCAGGGCTCAAACGCAGAACACAAGCATGCACCAGGGCCGAGGGAGTGTTTAGTTTTTTGGCAGGCATCTCTCAATGAGAGATACTGGAAGTATCTTTGCAAATAGCCAAAGACACAATCACACAGTTTGCAAATTTAACCATGAATGTTAAAGCACCCAAACTGGCTACATTATTGCTTATAGCATCTGTAGAATGGCTGTCTTATTGAAAGACATAATGAACACAGAGAGACAAGTTAATAAGCAATTTTACTCTCTATAGTTTCATGCAAGCCACATGTCCTCTAGAGGGCACCACATAAATTAATAGGAAGCTAGAAGAGTTTTATATGTAGCAAAGACTCGTTTTATGGTTAAAAAGAAAAAAAAAATTAAGAGGATAGTTTGAAACTGTAATTGAACCCTAATCTGATCATTAGTACAAAGTAATTTGTTCTTTAAATTCGTATCAATTGGGTTGCTAAATATGAAAGCTTATTTGACTACAAAGCTAGAGAACATTCAACTAGTTTCTACATTAGCATTAAAAAGATCACTTTTATAGGTTCACTGCATAACTAAGTAGATAAGATGCAATGAGGCAAATGACTATCTGCAATTACCTTAAGTGCATCAGTTTGAAGTTTAGTGTAAATACCAAGTTTAAATCTATGCACTCACAAGAATCACTAAAAAAAGGCTCATGACAAGATAGCTTCATGAAGACTTGATAAACTCAGAGACAAAAATCAGAAACATCTTAAAACTGATTATAGGATTTCTCATGTATGCTGGTTTCACTGGTGCAAAATATTGTGTGTTAACGGATAACTGAAACACCAGTTTTGAATGTGGTCATCACAGATAAAAATATACAGTCTCCTTTCTCTGAATCACTTAGTATGAATTTTAACAATCTGTTAGCAAAATATTTACTCCTGTCAGAGCTTCAAAGACCAGAGAGCAACAGTGTGTGTGTGTGTACATCTATACTAGAGAAACGCTTTGCTCATATCTCTACTACTAGATCACTTTTAGTTTTGATTTTAAACATTTGATTTTAAAACATTGGATCTGCTGCACTAGCACTTGGGAGATTCAGTAAGTTCAAAGTCTCCAGTAGATTTGGAACTCAGATCAAAGAGCCATAGCAAAGTTTTCTCACTCCTGCAGTCACTCGTTTTAGAAAGATTCTTAAAATGGGTTTTAAAAATTAGGATAAGTGTTACCTTCCCCCCAGAAGCTGTTCTGCCCCCTCTCTATAGACACATGCTTTAAGACCACAAGTGACCTAGGTTCATGTACAACAATTCCCTTCTATTCAAACTGTTCCCTGCCAATTTTTAAAAGTAAGGTTTTGTTACCTACTTCTTTGGCAGCTTTAACACAACGGCTTTAAGATGCAGACTCTGCGCTAAATTCCCAGCACTCTATCTTGTGTTCATCAGTTTTAATGGGTAGGAGAGCACTTTTACTAGTAAGTAGTCCAAGCCCATGCCTGAAGAACCCTGATCAGCCGTGCAGCCCCAGCTCAACAAATGCACAACACGTTTGCGAAGGTTTGTGTTCCACTCTAGAAAAAAACAGGTTGTAACGTGGAGAGCCAGGGTACTAACAGCTGTTAATAACGCTTTAGTCTTAATTCCTGTTCCAACCTACCCATGCTATACAACTTGGGAACTGATCAGCATGTGGGAACCTCCTATTTGGTACCTGTGCTTAAACTGAACTTGTAAGTTAACTCAAAGAGAATTTTAATTTTTCCCCAATGTATTACTGACTTGAATGTCCCTTTAAAAGGAAAAGATTTCACTACAGGGGCAGGGGAAATATTCCCAGAAGTTCACGTTAGCCTGGAGCAGCTAGTCTCATTAGGCCCCCTCTACAGGGAATGGAGGAAAGGTGCTCCTATAGGAAATAGGTGCTCTGAATCACCCCAGAGGAGACTTTTCTCTCTATTTACTATTGAGAGCCTAGGGAGATTAAACTTCCTGATTAAACTCAGCTCCTGCAAATCAGCCCTATTTATTCACATACAATCTGCAGATAAACTAGCCTGGTGCTGCTCATCAGTACTTTGCTACAAGTTATACCTCAAATACTTTTGAGAACGAAGCTCCACAAGCAAACAAGAAGACAGAAAAATCAGGTGATGATTTGCTATCTCTGAGAAGTGGCAACAGGTTACCCAGCATCCCACCCAGGTCACCGAGTTAAATCAGGACGACAGTGGGTTTGAGCCTTCTAGCTAAGGCTCAAATTTAGCCGTCTAGCTAAATAACCATATATGGTTATTTAGCACAGGGAAGAGAGTTGATCATCTTGGTCCAGCTTCTAACATCTAAATGGCATTCATAACATTCATAAAAGCTTCCAGTGCCACAAATGAAATCCCTTGACAAACTAAGAGGACAAAAGCGGGTAAGTGAAGACAAGTGAAGCACTCCTCACAGAGGTCAAACTGGAGCTGGTGAAAACCACGTGCGTGGTTTCAGGCCACTACACCTGGCCACCACCGTGCTGCTAGGAGGAGGAGACCACCAGCTCCCCGGGAGCGTGGTGCTGTGGGAAGCACGGGAGGGTTTACCCTCTTCCTCTGAGCACAGGACCCCAGTATTAGCATCAGAAAACTGGCAACCACCTGCACAGCTTGATTACATGTGCTTTTTGATTCAGATTTTAGTTTTATCTCCATATGTCAGTATTTGTTTTCTCATCCTCCACATATACTCGGCCTTGCAGCCCTCAAGTACCACTCATGCAATAGCAACTGCATAGGAAGAACTGAACAGATTGACCAAGTTTGTCAGTGAACTTAAGAAGGACGTGGCCTACCTCAGATAGTCTCTGCGACAAAGGATAAGGTTGGCTTTGGTGTACAAGGTAGAGCCCACCTCCCCCAGGCGACAGTCACAGCAGGCACACTTCAGGCAGTCTTCATGCCAATATTTGTCCAGGGCCTTTAGAAGATACCGGTCTTTAATCTTACGGTTGCAGCCAGCACAACCTTTCGGCTTGGTGTCTGGCTGGACTGAGAGCATTTGTATACCTGAAATACAACAAGACAAGAGTGAAAATAGATATTCTCTTGAGTGCAAGTCTCGCCCTTTTCTTCCTCCACCTCACCGCTCCCCCCACACCCAGTTCATTAAAAAGGCAATCGTGCAGATAGGATGAAATACTCTAGATAGTCCATAGCAAGCTGAAAAAAATGTTAAGATAAATTTGAGAGCAGAAACTTCCACTGCTCTCAGTTCCACAGCTTCTCTTTAACACCTCATTTACCTGGTCTCTTTGCTGAAAAGAAATAGGATTAAAAAGTTAAAATGAAAAATTAACACAGTTCCATTGAAAAGTCATCCACTTTCACCGAAAGTATCCGATATTTAGCAACCAAAAATTTAAACAAACAGCATATCTGTGATGGCAAACATAGCTAAATCTACACATTTGGACCTATTTGCACTGTCTTTATAAAATATAAAAGCACTCCACTTCTAAAGAAGAAAAGACTGAAGCTATTAGAGGCACAGGGCCAGAGTTTCAGGGAGGTTTGACACACACATTTTGGTGCTGGTGGGGGTGGTGGTTTGTTTTTTAAGATTTCGGTTCTTCTTAGACACATGAATGATGCAATCAGATTTCCAGAGACTTCAGTACCAGCATCTCTAGTTACAACCTGCAGTGTAAGGAACTTCTGAAAAATCTGATTTTAAATAATCTGTACAAGGTCGGAGAGTTGCTAGTTTGTAAAGGAAAAAAAAAAAAATTAAATAAAAAAACACTGCCCCGCTTTCCAATCCCAGTTTTAGCCAGTTCAGGACAAGGAGTACAGTAGTGTCCATTAAGTATGTACACCTTTCAAGGTAAAAGCAGAGTCCGTTTAAATAACAATTCAAATGTCTGAACCACTGTTTAAGGGACGGCACTGGTAAAAGTGGAACACAGTTCAGCGATGGTATGCAGAGCACCGCAGCCAGTTTCCAGAGATCCATACAAAAACTGATTGCCCTGAGTTTTACAGTAAAAAGGGGAGACAAGGTCACTGCCCCAAAGCGCTTACAGACTGGTCTGTCTTGGTTAATCGCATGAAGTGCGATCCCATTACACTCAGACGAATTCTCTTAAAGCCATTTCTTAGAATAAGCAAAATCATAGCCCTACGGATGCTTTGTTGGACATCAAACAGGCACCGGAGAGAAAGAAAGAACTGACACGCAGTTCAATTATTAGGTTATCTCACTGTTTTAAAGCCAATCCGAGATGTAGCTTAAAAAGAATGCTACTCATTAGAGCGCATCTGAATACTACAATGAGAATTTGTCAAGACTAGGGAACGAATGCTGTTGCCAACAGGCAAATCCTACCCCAAAATTCAGGGTATGGCACCCTGTTATTATGCAGAGACTCAGAAAGGTCAAATAGAGTCTCGTAACAAAGAAAAGCAAATTCAAGAGCTCCTCATCAAGAATGCTCTACTACCTACTGTTAAGAAAGCTTTACAGTCCCAGCTTCTATCAAATGATCTCAGTTGGTGCTGTAACACACCACTACAGTCAGGCAGGCTTAGGGAGCTACAACATGAACAAGTTGGGGTTTGGGTTTTTGTTTGGTTTGTTTGTTTGTTTGTTTTTTAAAGGTCTCATAAGGAAAACACGAAAATGAGTATAATCCTTGAAACAATGGTACAGTGTGCCTGTACGGATATTAGCGCTACGAAGACAAGAGGCTAAATGCTACGCTGGCGGAGGCGTCCCAGGGATCTGTACACATATGTGTACGTGGAACACGTCGAATTTATGTGGACTGCAGCAACTGTAAGCTAAGTGACTTTCCAGGGTTACCAAGCTGAACTCCCAAGTTTCACCTGCAAAGCTGATCACTGAATTAGAAATAGTAATTCTTATTACGACATGTGAGCACAACAGCCCTGCTCCCCTCTTTGCAATACACTCCGTTATGCATTTTGGAGCGATATATTTATCTATAAAGTAGCCCTCCAGTGATATGCAGACAGTTCTCCTAGTGGGCACCCCAAAGTACCATGGCAGTACTGCTGCATAACATCTAAAGTGCATAAAAAAAGTTTAAGGTCTGTATTTTTCTATGAATAAGTATAAAGAATGGCATTGCTGCCTTCCCATTACTCCCTAATCAACGTTACTCTCATAGCTCTTACACCACTTACAAACTCAGATCTGTTTCTCATTCACAAGGTGGAGGATGAGCTCCAGCGACCTGCGCAGGGCTCCGCAGTAAGTCTACAGCAGATGTGGGATCGAACGCACATCTCTCATCCTGAGCAAGCACCATGAGACACAGGCTGAGCCTTTACAGTATTTTCAATTGCCAACTGACTCCCCTGGATCCAGGGTACATACATGAACCAACAAAACAACATGGCTACAAATAAATGGCTAAAAGCAGTGAAAATATCAGAGATTTTTGGTAAAGAACCTATACCAGACTGTAAAGGGAAGTCCTGCTGGATCTCTAATACCTTCACTTGGTCAAAAAGCCTTAATCTGTAAAGTTGCATATCACAGTAGAGTATAAATAACTGCTAAGTGCTAACAACATGCTTATCCCCAGCCCCCCTCTTCGGCCTTGTAGAGGACAAATGCATAAAATCGGCCGCAGTTTGTATCAACTTCTTGAAACTCAGTAAAAAAGTTCAGAAGCATGAAGGGCTGTTCTAAGACTTTAATCTTTAGCTTGAGGGAAACCAGGATAAACTAGAAGCTAACACAGTTAAAGGCTTTAAAGAAAAAAATCTTAATGTAAAAATTTTGTCGCCTGATAAGGAAGCGGGTTAGAGAGCAGAGGCTGACAGTCTGATCCAGGCTGATCTACTGTCCTGCGCCGTCTGAAGGGAACAAGGTGCCACAGAAACACGGCTGATCAAGTGAATATCTGAGCAAATTGCAATAATCAAGCCTGATAATTCCTGAGGTGTATGCTGCAAACATGAGGTTATTGTATTACAAATAAAACCGCTGCTTGCACAATCTTGCACGTACCCCTGCACAGTTTTTTAGACATTTTAGACATGAGGAAAGTAGACAGAGAACTGTCATTCATGTTGGTTAGCCCAAACCCTCCTTGTAGAGATGCGGAAAAAGGGGCAGACACCCTACGGAAGCAGTGTTAGCAACCCTGCATGTCTATTTTCCTGAGGCTGAAAGAGAAGGTGCTGCTGACATCCCACTGGCAGCACCTTCAGATTAGGGATTCAATCTGCAGCAGCTTTTGGAGGAAGGAATGCTTTTCTCCTCAGATAGATCTCATCTTTTCGCACTGTACTTGAGATGAAGCTGCTTCTATTTTAATGAAAGTTTTAAAAAGAAAAAAAAAAATCCCCAAACTACTACTTCATTATAAAAAACAGTTACTTTTTGTAAACTATAGAATGGATCTTAACAAAACAAAGCACAAAACAGCACTCCAATAAGTGTTTTACCTATCGCCAGATTCTTTGTACATGCCCTTTTCTTCACATGCCCTGGATTAAATCACTTAATTTGGAAAGGAGAACATTTGATTACTTTTTTTCTGTATAGTATCAGCAAGCCACCTTAATGCAGATCAACTCACAGACCATCTCTCTTCCCTTTAATGTTCCCATAAGATCTCCAATGCAGTTATACTTTTCAGATACACGCTCGTGTATTTTTAGCTCGCTCTTAATTTGGCAATAAGAATACCTGCAGCTTACTGTCAGCCAGTTTTTCACAGGCTGCTGTTTAAGTACCCATTTATTTCTTAGGACACAAGAAGGACCCTTTCAGAGGCTGACAGCACCCACAAAACCATCCAAACTGCTTGCCGCTGAAATATCAGGTAGCAGCACACAGCACTGCTGCCTGGCTGCCCTCCTCTCCCCCTCCCCTAGGAAGACAGAGCGTATGGAGCACTTCCAAAAAAACATACAATTCCGTAAGTGCTACACCTAGGCTGTAAAAAAAAAAAAAAAAAAAAAAAAAATCAAACCCCGTTTTCCCTTCTGTTCTGCAGAGTCCTACCCATGCTCGGCATCACAGAGCAGATAGAGCAGATCTGTTCTCAGAACGGAGAGATTTCAGTTCCTAGTCTGTCACTGTCAAATGAACCCTTTTTATTTCACCCCAATATGCTTTCAAGGGCTTCCTCTATCCTTCCCTCCATTCCCTCCCTCCTTCCACCCCTAGTCCCCAGGATACTGCACATAAACTGCAGAGCTGTGTCAGGAATAAGACTTCTTAATCACCATCCACCACCTTTAGGATTTTTGAAGGGAAAACTTCATAACCTGATTTACAGGTTTTTGGATTTCCCTTGGTCTCCCCAAACAACTTTGATGCAACTGATTCCCATCCCTGGTTATTGTTATTATCGCATGATGAAACACTGTCAACCAATTTGTAACTATGAATTTCAGGATAAAGAGGAAAGATTGCTGGAAACAGCTAAATTAGGCTCCTGGAGGAAGGCAGAGAAATAAAAATCAGTTTCACTCCAATCATCACCCTTCTCAAAAATCAAAAGGAATGAAGATTTGACATAATGAATTGTATTTTGTTAGTGATATAGTAGCATCTGTAAGCAGGATTGGTCCCTGATGGTGCTGAGCGCGGCACAAGACTGTCAGAACTCAGTTGCTGGTTTGTGGTACAGACAGTCTTTGAAAGGCATGTTACGGGAGATAAGAGTTGGATATTATTACGCACCGGATCACTTAAAAAACTTTTAAAGACCACTCTCCCCCCCTCCTTTGTGAAGGCACGAACACGGTTCTACCAAGGACAGTAGTATGTACAGCAAGAAAGGGAAAACTTGCCTCTACTTCAAAAAAAATAATAAAAAAAAAAAACAGTTTGGAGCAAATTAGGTATCAGTGCGCTGGTCTTTAAAAGACAGCAAACTGACAGACAATATGCAGTCAACAAGAGAGTTAGAGATCTAGAAGAAGATAAAAAGAATACTTTTCCGATGCTTTCCCACTTTGTAGCTTCACCCTAAAAGCATTCAGAGCTCCAATTATTCAGGACAATACACACACAGACTTAAAAAAAAAAAAAAAAAAGTTAAGGTTTCAGAAGCTAAGAAACATTTCAGAACTCACATGTAGCACATCAGGAGTCGTAACTAGTTTTAGATTGGCATGTAAATTGCTCTGTGGAAAATTCTTATTGCCTCCAAGACCCTGCTATTCTGAGTTATTTGGCAGTTTAAGGGAAATCATAATTAAAAAAAGAGACATAAATAATAGCCTGTGCAGTGTGGTGCACAGAAATAAGTAGAACCATTTCATTTAAACTCTGGTGAGCTTTTAATTGCCTGGATTGCATTGTGAAGCAGCCTAACGGTTGATTGCCTCCATTATGCTCTCTTGTTCTGTGCCATTCATCCGCACAGTCTCAGCTTCTGTAGTTAACACAACAAAGTAACCGCAACTCCATAACACTCCGTTTTTTGTGGTTTGCTTTTTTTTTTTTTTTAAATAAAAGTAAGGATTTTAGTACTCTGAATATAGTCTCTTCTGTATACTTTTGAGGTAATTTTCCAGGGTATGTAACTAAACTTCACCTCCTGCCCCTTCTTCTACAGAGGAATCTGATTTTTTTATTATTATTTTTGATTTTTTTCTTAATAAAGGAGGTGGGTTGGAAAGGGGGGGGGGGGAGGAGAGAGAAGAGGTTAGGTAAAAACTAAAAATGGGAATGCAGTCCCACAGCTGGGAGCAGTGATACAGATTAAAAGAATTTGGCCAACATGGCTAGTCGACTGCCAAGAGACACCAAACAAAAGATTTCTCTTCTTTCCCCTTCTCTTTTTGAAAGCTAGATTGGGCCTAAAAGCTTGTTTCTCTCTGTTCACTGGCCCAGAGCATCCCTGCAGGCTGCAGCCCCCTAAGGGACAACCCAGCAAATAGATGTACCCAGATCTCAGGGATGGGAGCTGCTTAGCTATGTTCTTACCCCTGTCGTGTCCCCCCCACCTCTCTCCCCCCAGCCCCCCCACTCCCTCCCTCCTTTTTTAGAGCAGTGGTGCTGGGAACCAATTTGATTCCCTTTTTCTCCAATGCAGCTGCAAGGCTCAGAGATACTGACATTTTTCCACTCTTATCAGTTTAATTACAGTTACCATGGCAGCAAAGTGCTAGTGCTTGGCAAAGGCCAACAAGAGATTTGCAAGACTGAGTTCAATTTTGATGCAGCTCACATGCAAAATAAAAAAATAAATAAGAAACATACACTCTACAACAAAGAATCCCTTTTGGAGTTAGACGCTCAAGCCTTTTGTGCTAATTCCTTTTCAAGCATCGCATGGATGGGGCGACGGGGAGAAGAGGGGAGAGGGAGGCGTCGGGAAAGCATGTAGCGATATTTGTTGTACCTAGCAAGATTAATTGGTTTAAACAGCCGTCCTACAAGGCTGTCCTAGGCAGCGGTATTATGGGTCTCTTTAGAGCTCACGCAAACCAGAGACGCTCGCCACGGCAACGCATGCGGGACCGAAGAGGCAAGAGAAGCCAACACTCTCCTTGCCTCCCCCTCGCCCCCCGCCCCC